AGAGGCACTCACACACAGACATGTGCACACACATGCAGGAATACACATGCGTGTGCACACACACACACAATACCAGGTGTTCACTCCAAGCGTCCGTGGCTCTTCCTTTCCCACCTCGTTCCAAGCGGTGGCGCTGGGCAGACACAGAGGCAGGCGCTGTCCGTTCCTCCCTGACAAGCTGTAGAGCCAGCGCTGGCACAGCTAGTGGCTCCCCCGCCAGCCCTCTCGGGGCAGCGTTAACCACTCACCAGGGTGCTTCCCGCACTGGCAGGGGGCGGGTGTGACGCGAAGAGCCTAGCGGAGCCATGCGTTGCCAGCGGGGGGCAGCTCTGGTGCCCCTGTAGTGCCCCCCTAAGAGACTACACCCTGACTAGCCGCCCCTGCTGGAAGGAAACCCCTTTCTGCAGGTGTTTAATTAGCCTGCGGAACTCACTGCTACAGGATACGTTGTTGAAGCAAAGAACTCAGCGAAGGGTCGGGTGTTTCTACGGCCAAGAGCAGCCTCTGTGGTGGAACCCTGGCCCTCACCGTCCCTCCTCCTCAAGAGTGCCCCCCAGGGCAGAAAACTTTCCCATGGGGGCCCCCGGAGCGGCCAAGCCAACCGCTTCTCCAGCAAAACAGCCAGCCAATCAGCAGAGCAAAACCAGCTGCCAATCCGACCATGGGGGGGGCACCCCCAGAAGTTGGCACCCAAGGTGAGCACCTGCCTCAAACCCAGCCCTGCTCCTCTTGCTTCAGGGCACCCATGGGGATCAGGCCAGCCCCCGGGTGAGCACTGCATGGCTGGGTGCTGGGGGCTTCTCCCTTCCCTTGAAGCAGGCGCGTCCCCAACAGGCCATTGACCGTCGCCAGCACAGAACGGCCCATTGACCAGCCCTGCTGCCATCCAGGAGGGGCTGGCTAGGCTCCTCGCCCTGGCATCTCCCCCGCCTCAGCCACCTGGCCCATCTCTGCCCCACTGCCCAGTCCCTGCTGCCCTCCGAGCCCAGATCACTCCCCGTCAGGCGGGGCAGGAGCGTGACCCTCCCACACGCAAGCCCGGAGCACATGGGACAGTACCAGCCACTGCCAGCCGGATCCCGACACCCGGGCAGGGCCGGGCGAACGGCTGAGTGGGACAGGTCGGGGGCAGGGCCAGCAAAAATCGTGACAAACCAGCGTTGGTTCATGTCGAACCGAATCTGAAATTGGTCAGAATTTGGGGAAGGGTCAGAAAATCCCCCGCGAGGCGGGAGGGTCCCGGAGCCTGGACATCTGCGCTGCAGCTTTACTGCCCCGCGGCCGAGCCCTGCCAGCCCGAGTCAGCTGGCACCGTCCAGCCGCGGGCATCTTATTGTAACGTAAATGTACCCCGAGCGCCCTAGCGGCTGGGCTGGCGTTATAAAGGGGGCAGGGGGAGGGCGTGCCACTTCCGCTGGCCATTTTCAGTCTCGGGTGGCCAGAAAGTGCATTTCCCCCTCGAACGAACGATGGGTCTGAAAAATCTCACCCGGGTCCAGGCCTGGCTCCTCTCCTGGCTCTGCCGTTAACTCTCCGGGGTGCCTTCAAGCAGGTCGCTTTGCCTGGATTCCCATGGCTCCTTGGCTGGAGGGGCGCTAGCTGGCAGCGGTACCGGCGATCACCCCCCCTTGGAAATTAGCCAGGCCCCGGAGTGAACAGCTTGGCACGCGGGAGCCATGGCGTGGGCTCGTTAAAGGGGAAGGATCTGAATTGTTTGCTGCAAGCGACAGATGCACCTCGAGCGGCGGGTCGGGTCCATGCTGCTCAGAGCAGAGAGCGCCCCCTACTGAGTGACCAGAGCTATTCCCTGCAGCATGGCGCCCCCCGCGTGCCCCCCTGTGGCTTGGGGCTCAGCTCGAGTGAGACACAGGGGGGCAGGCGTGCCCAGGAGCCTGGGCAGACGTGGGCTGGACCGAGCGTATGTCCCGGGCCCCGAACGAATCTCCCCTGTGGAGTGTGGCGATGTCTGGGTGCCCCCGGACAAGGTCCCCGCGTGGGCACGGCCGTGGCTGGCTGCCCCCCGGCCAGCATCCCCTTCTGGGGTGTGGCAAAAGCCCTGCTCCAGGAAAGGGGGCAGGACTCTGTTTAAATAGCTTTATTAGTGTCACCCCCCTGCCCACAGAGCCCCTGGCCCGGTGGCTGCGGGGGCCCGAGGAGGCAGCGGGGAGGGGGCAGCCTGGGTGCCATCCTGGCCTGATACGGGTTCACTAGTGAGGGAGTCCGGCCTCATCCCCACTGAGTCTGTGTGCGTCGCCCCCCGGCCCAGCCTGGCCCCCAGGCCTCGGTGCCCCTGGCCGGCAGGGCAGGGCACAGCCAAGCCCCTCCCTGGGGGCTGGACGGAGACCCTCCCCCAGCGCCCGCGTCCGGGAGAGAGGGAGCTGCCGGGCAGCCTGGGCCTGGCCCGGCGGGTGTGGCCGGGGCCGGCGGGCTCCCCGGCCGGCTCAGAGGCAGAGGCTGAGCTCCTGGTGCACACGGCACTTGCGGCACTGCACCACGCAGCACCAGTGGAAGCGGCACAGGCAGTTCTCCTCCAGCACCACGGTCTCGGCCCGGTGCCCGCGCCCGCAGCACAGCAGGTCGCAGCCGCTCACGTCCGGGGCGGTGCTGTTGCACACCCGGCCTCGCGTGCCCGGCGAGCCCGTCTTGCGGTTGGCCGCGCAGAAGTCGGGCGAGTCGGCCGAGTAGACGAGATCCTGACGGTCGGGGGGCTTGATGCTGCGGCCCACGGGGAGCAGCGTCTTCCCGTCGTTGGCCCCCATCACCTTGAAGGCCCCGTTGAAGCGCTCCAGCAGGCGGTCGCCCACCTCACGGAAGTGGGGCATCTTCTTCCAGCAGGTGTGCAGGGTGCAGGAGCCCGACAGGCCGTGGCACTTGCACTCCGTCCGCATGTAGCTCCGCACCGCCTGGGGAGACAGGGCCGCTCAGTGGGGCCTGGCCGCAGCCCCCCGCCCCACATTGGGGTCCCCTGCCCGGCCCCCTGGCACCGCCCCCCCCACCCTCGCTCCTGCCTCTGCCCAGAGCCTCTCCTCAAACCCCACCGGATCCCAGTCCCCCGGAAGAAGAGGGGTATAGCGGATGCTGGACAGTTGGGGTGTGTCAGTGGGGGGGTTCGGAGTGTCTGTGGGGGGCAGCCCCGTAAGGGGACTCAACCTCACCAGCCACGGCCTAGCAGAGACGGGACCAGTGCCCACCAGAGCTGGCCCGGGGCACGGCCAGGGAGAGCTCGGGAGGGGGCAGTGCCCAGGCAGGAGCGTGGGGCTTGGTGAGCTGGGCTCTGCAGCAAGGGCCGGAGCAGATCTGGGGAGGTTAGAATTGGGGCAGGTGTCAGGTTTTCCAGGGCGGGGCAGGCACCCTGCTGGGGACGGGGTGATGGGGGAGAGGGGGAAGGTGGGTATGAGCTGGTGGGTGTCAAGCAAAGAAGCACCTAGGCGTGGTACATGGTGCAGGCTTGGTGGGCAGCATGCGGCTGTCCCTGGGCAGTGCAGTATTGGAGGACAGGGTGGGGAGGACGCGGTAGGGGGGCCGGGCCAGCCTGGCAGTGGCAAGGCAGAGGGGGAGTGTGGTTGACAGGTGCCCTGCTCATCGGGTGGGGCGGGGTGGGGAGGACGGGGTAGGGGGGCCGGGCCGGGCCGGCGGTGGCATTACCAGGCGCCCGGCCTCGTTGTTGTGCAGGTCGATGAGGGTGCGGATGTCGCTCTTGCCCTTCTTCCGCTTGGCGTCCATGAACTGCCGCGACTTCTCGTAGCCGAAGTCCACGTCGTCCCCGCAGCCGCCCCACTCCCAGGCGGAGCCCTCGGCGCCCGGGCCGGCCGTGGGCAGCGGGGGCGCCCGGCTCCGTGTCACCTCGCAGCTGCACTGTAGCAGCTCGCCCATGCTGCAGGCCTGGGTGATGGCGTGGCTCACGCCGGCCGCGGTGATGGCGTAGACGAAGGCCGTCTCCCTTATATCTGTGGGGGGAGGAAGCAGCATCAGCCGGTGGCCCCCAGGGCGGTGGAGGCAACCTGCCAGCCAGCAATGCTAGGGGGTGCTGTGCTGCAAGGGGCACTGGCTGGGGGGTGCCCCTGTGGGGGGATTTTCCCAGGGGCTGGGGCATGACCACACGTCCCTGCTCGGGCAATGCCACTCTAACCCTCCCACCCCTGCCCTGGCATCTCCCCTTCCTGCCCCAGGCTCTGCGAGCTGTTCATCGGGCACCCTGTGCCACCCCAGAGGTGGCTGTTTGTCTCCTGTCCCCGGGGAGGTCCCTGGGTCTGGTTTGCAAAAGGCTCTGCTGGGAGAAAGGGGCTTGGAAAATGTAACACCCCCGCCATGTTCTGCACTGGGGCTCACTGGTCACACTCAGACCTCGGGGGGCGTGGGTTCTGTGGGGCAGGCGGGGGCAGGGGCTTGGGGCTGGGGCCGCGAGGCGGGTTGCACTAACGCTCTGAGACAGGTTGGCAGCAGCTTGTCCAGCCTGGCCAGGTTCCCTTCACTCTCCCAGCACCGCCCCCCCCTCCCAGTCCCTCCAAGGAGGGTTAACCCCATCCCCCACCCCAGGGGCACCTCCTGGAACCAACGGGGGGGGGCAGAGATCAGAGTCGCCAGAGGCTGTCCCCTTGTGCAGCACCTCAACCACAGGAATCAACGCATCTCTTGCCCTCCCGCCCCAACTCCCTGAGCCCCCAAAAGCATGGGTCCCCACCTGGAGCTAAAGGCGACTCCCCATGAGTTACAAGCAGTAAAGGGCCTTTGACCCACAGCTGAGCCGTTCTGACTGCAGCCAGTAGAGGGCAGAGGCAAGTAGCTCAGCGCCATGTCAGTGACGGCTCTGAGCCCTCAGGGGGCGCCAGGAGATCCCCCCTGCCCCAGAGCTGCAAAGTCTGAGAGTCCAAGTGGGGGCTGGGGAGGCCCCACTGGGGCCCATCTCCGCATCCTGGGGCACGTGCCAGGCTGCCCTGCCCGGTGCCTCCCCGTGGGGCGACGCTGGGGCGCTCACCCCCCCACTCTCCCGGCACCAGCCTCCGCCCTGCGGGATTATTTATTATGAGCGTGTTCTCCCCGTCTCTGCTCCGGGACACGAATTCCAAGCATCCTTCCCCTGCCCAGACCTGCTCCGGCAGCGTCACCCCGTCGGCCGCGGTTCCGGCGCTGCAGCACTTACCGCAGGGTCTGGGGCCCATCCAGCGCTCAGCAGGGCCCCCAGCCCCCCCCCGCCCTGGGGCTCCCTTACAGCCCATGTTGGACCCCAACTCCTGGCCCCAGCGGGGCCGTGGGGCCTGGCAGCAGGGGGCATTGCAGTAGCCCCCTGGGTCCTCGCTCAGGATAGCTGCTCCTGTCGGGCTGGGTGATGCCCAGATGCCCAGGGAGAGACCAGCCCTGGGCTAAAGACGACGTGCTCAGAGACAAGAGAGTGGGCAAAGAGGGGCACCGCTGTGGCGGGCGCAGGCTGGCGGCGGCGTGGGGTGGTGGGAGCCAGGGGAGAGGATGTGGCGACGGAGTTGACCTGCCTAGCAGATGCATTTGCAGTGGGCCTGTCACCATGGCCTCTGGGCACAGAGCACCCAGCAGCGCCCCCCAGACTCTGCTGTTCTCAAAGCAGGGGCTCCCCCCTCACTGGTTTCCAGACACCAAGCCACCTACGCTTGCTGCTCCGTCTCTGCTGGGCCGTCTTATATGGCCTGCGCCTGCTAACGCAGAACCTAGCTCCGGCGTGGGGCGGACCCCTCAATGCAGCGACTCTGCACCGGACCCAGGCGTCCTGGCGAGCTCCCCGCGGCGCACTCTGCGTCCGGAAGGGTGAGCAGGAGCTTCGGCCGTGCACGTAGGGAACGCGTCTTGGAGCCGGCGTCACCTCACCGTACGACAGCAGCCAGACCAGGACCCGCCTCGAGGCCCCGTGTCCAGGACGGCGCCGCATGGGAAAGGGCTCGGAAAAGGGCGCCCAGGAGGCCCCACAGCGAGAGCCACGCCGGCTCCACCTGGCGAGGTATCCAGGAGAAGACTGATCTGCGTTCAGAAGGACCTGCCCGCGGAGGCGATCTCTGACAGCTGATGGTGCTTTGATCTAGCAGATGACGGGCTAAGGAGACCCAGCAGCTGATGCTAGAGCGACTCAGAGTAGACGTAAGGTGCAAATGTTTAACGGGGACAGGAGTTACCCATTGGACCCCCTGGCCCCGGCCTGGGCTGGGTTCTCCATCGCTTGACGGCAGTCCATCAACACTGGCTGTGTCTCTAACGCTCGGCGCTAGCTCCACCGGCCGCCCGGGGCTGGATGCAGGAGTCGCGGGGAGACTCAGCCAAGCTGGTCCCACGGGGCCCCATCCAGGAGGCCCGAGTTGGCATTTCTCATCCTTCTGAGCTGGGACGTTCCCCATCCTCTGGGGTAGGGCCCCGGCGTCACCGCAGCCCCCAGAGCTGCAGGTCCATGGTCCTACCACCGGGAGACCCCCGAGTCATTCCAGGTGGGAAAGCTGGTGTGTGGGATGAGGCTCCCACCTCTCCCCTTGGGAGATCATGGCGGGGCAGGAGAGCAGGGCGGGTTCCTCCTCCTGTTCCCTGTCCTAAGGCAGATCCACGGCCCCCGCAGGGCTGGCGTGGGGGTCACAGCATAAGCCGCTGCCCCTCACTGCTTCCTAAAAGAGCCCATGGGAGGGGGGGCTGCTGGCTTGGGGCTGTGGCCAGGTGAGGCCGTGCCCGTGTGGTGGAGACAGCAGCCGTCCAAGCCAAGCGTGGGCGCTGAATTCATCACGGAGGGAGCCCTCGAGTCAGAACCAGAGCCGGCCTGGCCTTACGAAGTGGGGTCACCGGCACGTTTAGCGCCCTGACGCCCGTGGGGCCGGGTCTTTCCTGTACCCTGGGACAGCGCACGCCCCCTCTGAGAACTTACTGGCCTCAGGGCGGGTGGGAATGGGCATCGCCTGAGAACTCTGGGCGCTGGCCCCGCTGGGATAAACGTCTCCAGGGCTGGGCAGGGAGCCGCTCCAAACACATGCAGGATGTCCCTGCCCCTTTGCAGCAGCTGGAGCCCAAAGGGAAGGTGGGCATCTCATTGGGCGCACCAAGCAGTGGCATACCCAGGCCCGGGTGCTCCCGTGGGGACGGGCTGGCTGTTTGCTAGGTGGGGTAGCCCAGAGGTGCTGCTGACGGCTCCCGGCATGCAATGCTCCATGTTGATCCAGGCAGCCCTGCTGCACTGCATGCTGGGACATGGCGTCTCCATTGCTGCCCATGGTGTCACTGTGGTGCCCCCAGGGCCCTCGGGGGTTTTCTCAGAGACAGCAGGGAACACCGCCCTGCCTGGCCCAGCACCCGGTCCAAGAGTCTGTCCATAAAACCCAGGTGACCCAAACTACTGCAGCTAAAGGAGAATCCCCATGAGCTCATAGCACTACAGGGCTTATGACACACAATGGAAGCACTGAGTCCCACCAGTAGAGGGCAGTGGCTGGACATGCACCTGCACATCTGCTAGTTCCTGGCAGTATGGCCAATGTGGGCGACTGCTGAGCTGCAGCCAGGGGGCACTAAATCCCCTTGTGGCCCACCCAGCTGGGCACAGGTTGGGGGTTCTGATGTCACCTAGGATGGCCTGGGGCGGGGGGGTCTCACATGTGCTTGGACAAGCCTGCCACACACCGGAAGGACAACCAGGCCCCACAGGGCCGGGTCAGCACAGCGTGGCAGGGGGCGAGCGCCCCCCAGGTCCTGCTATCCGGGCCTTCTGCGGAACGCCGCCCGTGCTGCGGCCTACCTGACACCTGGACTGTGGGGGCGAAGGGCGGGGGCGGGACAGACCTGGCTACAGCTGGGCCAGGCACCAGCCAATGGCAGGAGTGAAACTACGTCCCTAACCCCCACTGCCCATCCCAGTGCCCCCTACCCAGGCCAGAGCAGCTCCCTGCTGGCCCCCTGCCAGCCCCCTCCACTCCCGTAGGCTGCGTGCCAGCCTCCCCCGCCCCCGGTGCCCTTGGCGCAGGCGCATGCAGGGAGTGGCGTCGGGGCGGGGGGGGGACACGTCTCCTCGGGGCGCAGTAAATCACTGCCAGACGCGGAGGCATTCTTGAGCTTTATTAAGCCCCCCGGTGGCTGGGAGCAGAGGTAATTGGTTCATTACAACACGGGAAGACATGTCCCGGCAGTAAACCTTCGGCCCTGCTGCGCCCCCGGGGGCCTGCGCCGCGGCCTGGCTCTCACCCAGGGGAGCGGGTGCAGGGAGGTCGGTTAATCCCCCCTCGGCCGGTGCTGCGGGGATGGGCTTCGGCAGCTTCTTCCCGGCTCTGGCAGGCCTTCGAGCAGGAGGCAGGGGCCTCGCTGTCCTCCTGGGGGGCAGCAGCTTTAGCGCCCGCCCGCTGGAGGGGTAGAAACACCGCAGCAACTGCTTGCACTCACCGCACCCACCAAGGAAAGGCAGCCACCTCTGGGGTGGATTCCGGCAGCTGATCAGCTGTGCAGAGACACTGCCTGGCTGAGCGGGGGCTGCCCTGACCCGGGGAGAGGAGGTGGACGGGAGCAGCCTGGGAGGCCAGGCTAGGGTCCGTATTGCTCCAAACCAGCCAGCCTCCCCCGCCTCGGGGAGCCCTCCTCAGGTGAGGAGCCGGGATCGGCCCCGGCCTGAGGGCAGGAGCCTGCTGGGTCCCCGACACCACTGTGCAGGCTGATCCGTGCCCCATGCACACAGCCCCCTTGATAGCCTCCGGACAGGTGGGGCCCCACTTCCCCCTCTGCCATGGGGCTTGGCCCTCCCCCTTTCCCCTGGGCTGGAGCCCCCCCGATTCCCCAGCCCCACTGTCTCTAGGAGCCGGGCAGCCCCTCCCCCAATAGCACGGGGCGGGGGGAGTTTCCGGCTGTACTCAGGGGTCCGGGGGGAGCCTGGCCCCAGGGATCGCCTTGGCCCCGCCGGCCTTACCCTGCTGCAGGATCTTGCCGAAGTACTTGGTGTGGCTGGAGCAGTTCCAGCGGCGGAAGCGGAACTGGTACTGGCACTCCCGCACGCCCAGCTTGGCGCCCTTGGCCACCTCCTGCACGATGTCGGGCTCCGTCTGGCACAGCTCCGCCTGCTTCCCTGCCAGGCGCTTGGTCTTCCGGCAGATGCTGTTGGGGTCCATGACCAGGGGGCTGCCCACTGCCCTGGAGAAAGGAGAGAGCGGGGAAGCCAGCGCTGTAGCGGGTGGGGCAACGGGCTGCCTCCCAGCTGGCTGGCACGGGCCCTGTGCCACAGCCCTCCTCAGCTGAAGCCTGATGCCCTTGTGTGGGGCACCCCGCCCCCAGCCTGCCCTCCCCTCCGAGGCCCTTCCCAGGGTGTCCGCTCTTGGCTCATACCATGTCACCCGCCGGCCCCACCGCCTGCCTGCATCGTCTCTGTGCCCCTCGCCATGGGTCTCTGTGCCGGGAGCCCCCGCCCGAGCCCACCCACAGCGCACGGCCAGGGCCTCATGGGACCGCGAGGAGAGCCGCCTCCGCTCCCCAGCGACGGAGGGCGCTACTGGTGCCATTTGGGTACCCGCGGGCAGCCAAGAGCCTGACGGACCCTGAGCCTCTGAGCCCCCTCGACTGAGGCGGGGGTGGTGATGGGTAGGGAGGGCATGTCAGCCAGCTCCTGTCTCTGCAGGGACCCTGCCACCCAGGTGCCGAGCAAGGTGGCGGGATGGGATGGAGCCTCCAGGGCCCCACCGGGCCAACTCTCAAAGCCTGGGAGCACCTGGGGCAGCTGCCGGACAAGGGGTGGGAGCCCGGCCCTGCCGGGTCCCTCGGCAGCCCCTCCCAGCCTGCTGTGCCAAAGGCTGCTGGCAGGACTGGCAAGACTTTGGCCAAGCGAGCAGCCCCTGGCCCCCGAGCCCAGCTCCGCTCCGGAACGGGCCCCGAGAGATGCAGGAGGCAAAGGAGGGCCCTGCCTCCGTGCAGCTCAGACCAGTGCCAGAACTAGGGGCGGGAGGCGGCTCCAGAGAGTGCAGGGGGTGAGTCAGGAGGGGGCACTCTCCTCTCTGGCTCATGCTGACGCCAGGGCCCCAGCATGGCGCCAGGGGGCACTGGGCTGACGGCAGAGCCCTGTGGTAAGCGAGATAAAATCACTCGCTGATTTCTAATCTGCCCCTGTCCTGCGGGGTCAGCTGGCCGCTGAATTCCTCTGCCCCTCCTGCCCTATGCTCCTGTGTAGTGTCTCTGCACAGCTGATCAGCTGCCGGAATCCACCCCAGAGGTGGTTGCCTTTCCTTGGTGGGTGAGGTGAGTGGAGGCAGATGCTGCGGTGTTTCTCCCTGTTAGTGGGTCGAGTAGATGCGGGGAGGAGTGACAGATACGCTAGAAATATCAGTGACTATTGCATGGCCATTGTAACCCCGGGAGCTAGAGCTCTCCCCATGCTACTGCTCAGTCTGGGGGGAAGAGGGACGGGGGGCTGAGGAGGGGAGAGGGACCATTGTGTGGCTTCTGTATTTTGTACACGCGAAAATACTGCCCAGCTCCGCCTTATCAGGACACCCTGGTGGTTTCGGGCTCTCCTGGCCCACCAGACACAGGGCCAAAGCCAGACCTGGTGTCAATCCTCCCAGGTCATACCGCGTTACACCAGGAATGACTCTGCCTCGGCTTCCCCCACGATCCCAAGAGGAAAGCAGCCTGCGAGGGCCTGATCCTGTTCTCACTGACCGGGTGTGACTCCGGAGTCACCGCAGCGCAGTTCTCCTTGTTCTGGGTCCCGACAGCGCCTGGCACGCTGGGGGCCTGGTCTGTGACTGGCTCACGGATCAAGACTCGTTCATCGCAGTGCCCTGGATTTACACCAGCGTTGCCGAGCTCCGCATCTGGCCCCGCCTCCCTTGGCCGAGCTGTGCCAGGCCTGCCAGGCCCTTCGCCAGGGCAAAGCAGCGAGCAGGGCACCCTACATGGCAGCCTGGCTCAGTGGCTACTGTACCAGGCTGAGTATCAGGAAAAGTGGGTTCTAGTCCCTGCTCCGTGCCTCAGTTTCCCCTCCCACTCTCTGCCTGCCCGGTTTATTTCGCTCTTCAGGGCAGGGGCTGTGTCTCACCGGGTGTCTGCACAGCACGGGCACCAAGGTGCTATTACGAGAACGTGCCGGGGCGGGCACTTCTACCGCCCGGCAGAGCAGGCCCGGCCCTTGATTCCCCGGCGTCTCAGCCCCGGCCCAGGGTGGGCAGTGCCCGGGGCAGGCTGCAGCGTGCCGCACATTCTTGGAATGTCTCCTCCCCGGGGGAGGGAGGCGCTTTTGCAGCAGGGGCTGTTCTCTGTTTACCTTGTGGGAGAAGAGCCCAGCGACCTTGCCCACGATAAAGCCCTGGGAAGCCCCCTGGCTGCTCTCCAAGTTCCTCCCCAGCTCCCAGGCTAGCCTCCCGCTGCCCCAGCATCGCCTCCAACGACAAGGTCAAGGGATGCTGCAGCCCGGGGGGGTGTGAGCGGGAGGGATCCTGGTACGACGGCTGCCCAAGGTAGGAGGCTCAGTGACCATTTATTATCGATTCTCCTCCTCTGAGGGTCAGGACAAGAGGGGCTTCGGGGTGGGGGTGGTGGAATAAGCCAGGTGTGGCAGCGTGGAATCATGGTGCCCGTTCCACACCAAGCAGCAGCATGGGGTCCGACATGGAGACGGGCACGGGGGGACCCCCGACTGCCTGCCCCCACCCCCAGCTCTGGTTTGCTGCCCAGCCCTCTGCTCTCAGCTCCTCCCCACGAACCAGTCCAGGCCTTCCCGCTCTGTGCCCAGAGGGCAGAGTGGGAGAATCGGCCAACGGTATAACCGGGTGGGGAAGGATTCGATTTTTAGGGGTGAATGTCGATAAACATCTATTTCACACAACCCGCTGGTAGCGCTTGAAATTCACCAGAACAAGGCTTCACCATCTCCTGCCATTAACTAATTCTGGGCTGCCCCCTCCCCGCCCCCGGCAGTGTCTGACCCTCCGTAACATCCGGCAGCTGGGCCAGTTTGAATCAATTACAAATAAATACCGATATCACCCATCGAAATTACAGAAATAAAAGCCAAGCTGTGCCCAGCCTGTATCTATCCCAGGAGGGGCCGGGGGTCAGTGGGGAGGGGAGGGGTAACCCTCATTCATACAATAGGGGGCTTCCCCCACCCCATGGTTGGTCTATGTTCCTGCTCTCACTATCCTTTCAGCGCAGGCACTAGTAGGGTGACCAGACAGCAAGTGTGAAAAATTGGGATGGGGGTGGGGGGTAAGAGGAGCCTATATAAGAAAAAACCCCAAATTTCAGGGCTGTCCCTATAAAATCAGGACATCTGGTCACCCTAGGCACTAGACACTCCTGCTCTTAGCTGGAGAGGTCCCAGGTTCGATCCTCACAGACGACCCCCCCCAGGCGGGAGGCCGCAGGGTGGAGAAGACACAGGATTAATCCGAATTTAGATAATTCGAATTTGGGAAACAGGTTGTATAAATTCGATTGTGTGCGGCCACACTAAGCACATTAATTCGGTTTTTAACCACATTAATTCGGTGGTGTGCGGCCACACTACCCCATTAATTTAAACACAGTAATTCGGTGGTGTGCGGCCACACTAACCCTAATTCGAATTAACAAAATCGATTTAGGCACTACTCCGTTCGTCGAGGTGGAGTACAGAAATCGATTTTAAGTGCCCTTTAATTCGAATTAACTGGCTCTGTAGTGTGGACGGGTGAAGGGTTAATTCGGATTAACGCAGCTAAATCCGAATTAAAGTCGTAGTGTAGACCAGGCCTAGGACGCCCGGCTATAGACGACCCAGGCTTCCACCTCCAATCTCTGCCTCCCCTGTGGCCAAGCCAATGCCCCATAAGCATCACCACTGTGGCCCGGTGGGCTCTGGCTTCGCAGCCCCCCCAGTCACCCCCTTCTCTGCCCTCGGCAGGCTGGGCCCGGAGTCCCGAGCCGGCTCAGCCCCCGCCCCCTGGCAGGCAGCGGTGCACCGAACCATCCCTCGGCCTGGGAGAGAGAAAAGGCCAATGCGGGCCCCCAGAGCCAGGGCAGGGCTGACGGCTCCTGCCCCATCCCTGGGGGAGACAGTGGCACAGGCTGGGGCTCTCACATTCTCAGGCTGCATTTGTCCTTGCATCCGCTCCTGCCCCCTTAGCCCTCCCGCCCCTGCCCCTCTCCTGTCAGTGGGAGGGGTCTACAGGGGCTCTTTAAGAGAGCCCAGAGGCCCGGTCCCAGCATGGCCCAGAACAAGGGCATTCTGGGGGATGTAGTCCGCAGGGACTGATGGGCGGCAGGGGCCAGGGGAGCAGGTGACTGCAGAGCTACCTAATGCAACTTCCTTGGTCTGCCTGGGCAAGACCAGTCACAAGCCAAGACTGGGAGTACGCCCTGATCCAGGGCCAGCTGCAGCGAAAGGCCTGGGAGTGGCCCGGAGGCGGGTGGGTCCCTGGGGCACCCCTGGGCCAGGAGGCAGGTTTTGACCTGCACAAGTGGGTAGCAGCGGCTGTGGGGCAGCTGTGGCCTATGACATGGTGGGTGAGGGCTGGAGCAGAGGGAGGCCCTGGGCTCTTATACAAGTGGTGGGGCCGGGGGCCGGGAGGGGATGTCTGCTGGATGCCTGCCTCAGTGGGGTGAACGCTGTGGGTGGGGACAGTCAAAGAGGGCTTGTGGCTGGGGGCTGAGGCACGAACTTACCCAACTACGAGACTGCAGACCATGGGCCCAGCAGGGAAACTGAGGCATGGCCCCACCCAGTGCCAGAGAGGTAAGAACCTGCTGAGTCCCCCGGGGTGGGGTCTGGCCAATGTATATACGTCTCTAGCTCCTTTAACTCCCAAAGGCAGTGCTGCTCTCCCCTCGCTAGGGATCCAAAGACCCCCAACGTGCTCCACAAACTAACCGGTAATACACAAAGTAGAGCCGTCACTCCTGAGCTCAGTAAAATGCAGCCACCTCTGGGGTGGGGTGTGGCTGCTGCCTCTCACCAGAGCTGTACAGGCCTGCGCTAAGGCCAAAGGGCAGGGAGGGAGATGTGGTTAACCCTGACTCCTCCACGGTGTGCCTGGGCAGGAAGAAGGCTAGAGGTTAGTTCTTGGGTTATAGAACCCGGGCAGCTGCCGTTGAGGACTAGCATCTTGTACGAGCGTCTCTCCTGTGTTAGCGACTCCCCGTGCGCAGGGGCCAT